GCTTTCAGCGACGTTCAGTTGCGATGCTTCATGGATTGTCAAAGAATCACCCAATGCGTATCCTATCAAATTGGGATTGAATTCCTAATATATTGTGCATTCAAAGATACAATTAATTTGCAGACATACATAAATTCGCTAACTTTCATATGTAATAAAAAAATTTTATTTGATGAAGATGATTTACCTTAATGATATTAGGTAGCGTCAAAAATTCTCTCCATGTGGCTTGACCTCCACCAGACGGTGAAATTCCTCTGTTTTCAATTAAAATATGAACTATAGAAGTCGCGAGAGCTCCAGCTGCGGCTGTAAGCGAGTCACCCATTGCGGCAATAACATCAATATCGCCAGGTCTTAATTTATGCACAGAATTTGGTACGTTCGGCGATCGACCATCTATAAAGATTATGTAATGTAACCGAAGTTGTGTAGAAATACATAAATGTAATGTAAAGTAGAGATATGTATATGCAAAAACGAATAATTCTGAACTGATTATTTTTAATAACAGATTTTAATCAGTAAGAATGTAAAAAAACAAATTAAGTAGTTCTCAACAGAAAATTGTAACATGGTGTTTTAATATCCTACTTGTTACAGTGCAAGAAAACGAGTCATTAGTAGTTGTAGATAATCACATTAATGTAATTTTCAAAAACAAACTGTGACGCAAAGTGTTTAAACATCCTACTTGTTACATCGCAAGGGAACGAGATGTTAATAGGAATGGATGACTGCGTTCTATTTATGGTTTTCGCTGCTTGCATATATCGTTCGTCGGTTCCCGTTTTACCTATAAAAAATAATTAAAATTCTTATAATTTTGGAAAACACTGAAATTGCATATATGTATAGTGGAGGTTTACTTTAAAAAAACAAATATATAAAAAAAAATAAAATAGTACGTTGCGCGCGCATAAGAAAAATTTTATTCATTATTCGATCTAATGCAATTTTCAATTGTTCGAACTTTGTAGTCAGCAGTTAATAAGATTGATTTGCATTTATACTTTAGACAGTACAACAATAGTAAGCAATGTTTGATGTATCGTATTTAACCAAGTAAAATCATCAGTCAGACGTCTCCTAAATAGACATTCATAATTCATATTTAATAAACATTCATGTATAATTTTTATAATTTATTTAACGTTTAATAAACATCTGGAGAGAGTGCAAATTTTTATATAACATTTCTTTGTAGATATATACATATTCTTATCTAAAATTAATATGAATAGAAAACTTTATGGAGAAAACGAAAAAGACTGAATACAAATCCAGAATTTTCGATTGATTGTTATATAAAGTTTTGAAAATAGAAAAATCACATATTTCATTTACAAATTAAAGCAATCTTTGATGCAGCAAAATACTTGAGATTTGAAAGACACTCTTGTTCTTCCTTTGTGTCATAGTGTCGAAGTTGTTTAAACGATCTTTCTTTTTCTTGGTAATGTTGCGTTTGAAGTGATTTTTCCAAAGCGTCTAATAAATAAAGCAATATTTTATCTTTCGCTTTTTCTCGCTCTCTCTTTCTCTGTTTCTCTGTCTCTCTTTCTCTCTCTTTTCCTTTCTCTCTTTCTCCGACAAAATATACACAAAAAGTAATCAATTTCCACTGATTTTATTTTGTTTTGATCGATTTTTTTCGTGTTCTGTGTTTCTCGAAATATGTTGAAAAACTATGAATGTTAATTTTTATATTTTTTTCTACACATACCGAAAGTATCGTAAGTCCAATTTCGAAAAGTACGAAGCAATATCAAATTGATGGGCGAGTCCAGGTCGGTTTTTTGACATGACGTTCTAGCTAATAGATACAACAAGATAAAAGAAACCAACCAACACTTCCACATTGTGTAGCGAAACATATTGTGTGAAACTGACAACGAAACTGGTATTTATAACCATTGCTCCACCACCTTGTGAAGTATACAGCTTGCTACTCATTGTAAGACAAGGTCGTCTTGTAGTCTACCTGCAAATCAATTTGCGTCACTGAAGGCATACTTCTTGAAAATTATAACAATAATCTTTATATATATTACTTGATGTTTAGAATACGTGTTTTTGTGATAATATAAGGTTCCATACGCACATTTCATAATCATATATAGTCTGCACGAAAAAAGTCTTGTTACAATAGCAAGAAGATTTTAGCTAATATGTGAACGTTAAGAAGGAGTTGAAGTTTTTGAAGTTTTTCGTGTATCAACATACATATAAATGTTTAGCTTTTTTCATAAGCATTAAATTTAGTAATCATTAAATGTTTTATCCAATGTCCAGGAAACATCTTGCCATTAATAAAATTAAACCAATGCAGACTCGCGGAACAATGTTTTCTTGCTTGGTTATAATAGCAAACTTGTTGTTGTTATCTGTGTATTATAAATGTTATTTAATGTTACACTGTTTCTTTCTTTTGGTATCTTAAAAAAACAAAGATTTTATGTGTGATAGTAAAAAAGAAAAGAGACAAAACATAATTATTACATAATTTATGTGTAATAAAGAAGATAATAATATCAAATATAAGATAATAATTTCAAAAATAATAATATCAAATAGTTTTCGAGAAATAATTTTACGTCAATCTCTTGCTACTAATTTATAATTAGCGTGACCTAAATAAGTATTTTTTTTACCCAAACTAGTCATAAATTTCTGTAAAAAATCTGATCTTGAAATCGTGACGTTTAATAGCGACATTATTATAATCACAGTGAAATTTATCGCATTATAATAGATAAAAATCTTTATTCTACATTAAAAAGCAGTTATAAAACTAATCTTACATTTAGTATTAGTACAGTATTTTGTTTTTTCAATGTTTTGCTATTAAGGAAAATTGCAGCAATTAAAGTTTTTCTAAGAAAATTCTGTTTTTGTTCTTTTTGGCCTTTAGCACTTGAATTACAAATGCATAACGATGCATATTCCTGTGCACGTACGCACTAACAAACGTGAATGAATCACAAGATTAGCTTCTTCTTTCAGTCGAGAGCAAACTGAACGGTAAAAGATCTTCATTGTGTACATTTATTAGCATTTCGTTAGTTATGTATACATAGATATGTGCATGTACACACGCATACATATATGTGTAAAGTTTATTTACAGTTCAAATTGACAAATGCCTGTCAAAAATTGCCAGAATATTATTTATAATATCATTATTTTTATTAACTATTACCACGCAGAATAGAAGTCGACACATTTTTTTTTTATTAGACGTCCATCCAATATCGCATATAATCGTTTAGGAATATCTAATAAGGTTGTTGTTCTATGCAAATTACATTATTATCAATGTTTTTTTTTTGTTGTTCAATTATTCATCTCTTGAGAAAGGTACGTCTGAAATACGTAGAAAAAAATTGACTTTGATCACATTAATCAGTAATTGATGATGTTGTACATATACGTAATAGCTTAAGGCAATTTATAAGTGCACAGGGCAATATATAAGTCACATTGAACACAAACACTTCGTAGTTTTCAGATGATAAATGATATACATTTAATTAATATATATCATTTATAATGTATCTATTATAATAAAAAAGAATATATACGTGATAAAATAAAATTATATAAATTGAAAATAATCAATAATTGGTCGAAATAAAGTAGTTTCTAAAGGTAATAAATATCTATTAATTAATACTCGCGCAACACACAATTCTGCGTTTTGTTCGTCATCCTCGATATATTCATACTTTTTATTTTGGATATATATAAATTAATTATTAAAAATTTATNTATATATATATATATATATATATATATATATATCATGTATATACGTAGAACAAATAATTATTTTATCGTGTAATATCTGTTGACGTGTAACAAAATTGTTAGTTTTTGGAGTAAGAACTTGAGAAAGCCGCCAGCAATGTTTTTCATTTTTCGCGCGTTGTTGCGATGGTGATGATTTTTAGAAACGGGTTTTTTGTAAAAAAAAAGAACATGTATAATAATTATTATATCGTTATTTTCTTACTAATTTATCATCTTTAATTACTAACTCGCGTTGTTATCGACGTAGCATTTTAAATAGTTGCTTCGATAAGACGCTTGTTGTGACGTTATTGATTAATGATTGTAAAAGAGCCATTCCAACTGTTCCGGCGTGTTGCCCATTGCGCAGCAACTCGTACTAGAGTGAGAGAAACAGAAGAGAGTTGTGTCAAGAGAACAGCTTTTATGTCTCAAAAGTTGAGTCAAGGTCATAGACGTAGAATGTATAGACTGCGCGTCCCCTACCTTTGCCATGTTAAGAAAATGTCCTCAACGTTGAGAGAGACAGCTGGTGTTGATCAGTAGCTTCATCTTTGTCTAGCGAAGTAGTGGGGGAAAGAGGAGTCTTCGCTGATTGATAGAATAGTAGTGCAAAAGAGTGGGGATAGAAAAATAGTGGGGGTGAAGAAGAATGAAAGAGATTAAGGAGTGATGGCAGATTAAAAGCGGTAATGAAACAGTAGGCCCTGATTCCACCACAGAGACATTAATAGACAGAGAGAGAGAGTTACTGTTCAAAGTACGTTGTCTCTGTCAACCATGAAGACATTTTTTCGGCCAAACGCGCAGTCTATATATTCTACGTCTATGGTCAAGGTAAAGGCTCTATCGTATAAAGTCGGATATTCATGTGACGAACAACATCGAGTGAACGCGAAATTAGCCAATAGCATTTGGCTATCAATTCGGTCAATCGACCAATCAAATGTTTTGCATTCGGTGCTGTTTGTCTGATATTTGTTCGCTAAATGAGTATTCGGCTTAACACGGCAGCTGCCGGACTTTGAGAATTGATCGAAAATTAAATATCACGAAACGGATATTTTGCTCGTTATTAATGGGCTATGTGGTGTAAACGGATAAATATATCGTGATATAAACGCGATATTGGAAACCTTATATCTAAAAATATATTAATTTGTCAGGTAACAGAATGTATTGATGTTATTTGTTTCTCAAATCACTCAGATAAAAAAAGTTAATATAATATTTCTGAAAAAAAATTAATACGCGATTTCAGTGGCTTTTGTACATTTCACGAGGAAAGAAATCTGCAGGTCGAGCAAAATGAGCAAGGTACTAAAATTTTGATTATTAATGAGAGAAAGAGAGAGAAACGAGATCGAACGAATGGGTTTGTGTGAGTGAATGAGTGAGCGAGAAGAAAAATGCGTGTCTCTCACATACGTTTCTGCATTTTATTTTTTCAATCCATACTAGATATCACGTTATCCCTCTGATGGCAAAGTCTATGTGGGAGACTTGGGAAGCAGTGCTAGTAAACAAGCATTGGAGGATGCTTTTTCTTATTATGGACCATTGCAAAATGTTTGGGTTGCCCGAAACCCTCCTGGATTTGCCTTTGTTGAATTTGAAGATCCCCGAGATGCTGAAGACGCAGTAAGAGGACTAGATGGTCGTTTTCTGTGTGGAAGACGTATCCGTGTGGAACTATCGAATGGAAAGAAATTACAAAGAGACAGAGGTTTCAGAAGAGGAAGTGGAAGACCTTTTCATCCAGATGATAGATGTTATGAGTGTGGTGAAAAGGGTCATTATGCCAGAGACTGTCATCGCCGTAGAAGTTCACATAGAAGAAGGTGAGTCTTGGATATTAGTCTTTAATCAAAAGTAAATTATTTGATTGCTTTGATACTTTATATACATATTCTATAGTAAAAACTTATATACTATAGAGTAAACATTTTAATCATATTTATGCACACAAGAATCTTATTTAAATGATTTATAATAAAAATATATTACATATTATATATATTAAATTTGTATTCTTAAGTTTTTGTATATATACTCAGTAATTATTTTTGTAAGATTGGAAGATAAAATTATATAGTTACAGAAAGACATGGCTTTCTATCGTAGCTATTGTGTGAAATAAGATATGAGTGCTTAAGTATCTTTTATACATATGTATATATTTATATATATAATAAGAAAAAAGCATAAAGAATAAAGCAAGAAAAAGAAAACATTTAAGCAAATTTGCACAGTAAAAGTGTTTGCATTGTTCATTTAATTTACTTATTACATACTTGTTTTAAATAATTAAAATTACGAATATTGTATGAACTTTTATATTGCAGTTGTGCATATACAAAAAAGGTGTCTCTCTCTTATTTAAATGCACGTGATAAGAATCGTAATTCAAATAAATAATAACGATTAGAAAAAAGAAACATTTCTGCAAACAATAAAGTATAAGTGTAATAAGTGTATTATATGTCGGCCAACGTAATACTACCCATTATTTATAGGAGTTGCGGCTGAGCGTGTACGGCATAAGAAATGTGTGTTGGTACCCGACATTGTTACGCGAGATTCGCCTTGGGTTCACATTTGTGACACATCGTGCATCGTAGTTTCAGCATAGAGCATCTGCCATCTACGTTGCTCTGCACGTTCTGCGAGCGAGAAAAACTCGACAAATAGCGCCCTGATACAAGGTGTCTGCGCATTACTGCAAATAATACCGATCCGCTACCCAGTGATTATCACCCTCAGAGATCATCGCAGAGATTTACGCACATTTCCGCTACTTCTAATTCAACTATCCGCGATTTCTACTGGCTGTCGTCGTTGTTATCGTCGTCATCGTCGTTGTTCTCGTCGTCATCGTCGTCGTCGTCGCTGCTGTAATCACCGTCGTCGTCGTCGCCGCCGTCGCCGCCGTCGTTGTCGTCATCGTCGTCTTCGTCTTCATCGTCGTTGTCGTCGTCGTCTTGGTTACTGTAAAAGATAAACTTTCAGTAATATTTATATTTCTAACCACATCTTTATCCTCTTATCTCTGATCCTTTCATGATTTTTATAAAGCGTTTTCTTCCGGCATAGCCATACTGCTCCACGATTGTCTACTATAAACGCAGCTAGAAAAAAAAAAAAATTGCACATAAGTAGAACAATCAAATATGTATATTTTCCACGTGATAATTAATTACTATTTATGATGGTCAAGTAAATTCCAACTATTGGATGTACAAATTGGTATTTGAAATGGCTTGATTGATTGCATCACTTTCCAAGTCGTCAAAAAAGTCGTCTTTTTGCAAAGACGGAATTTATAATCTGATCAATAAACAGATAATCGACAACAACGACGTGTATACTTCGTTGATTAAATTTTGAAAGTAAAAAAATGATAAATTTTACAAAAAAAATTAAAAACTAATTTGTACATGTACATACAATATGACAAGCAAATTTGTGTTACGCTATTACGTATAAGCTTGCATGAATTGTAAAAAAAGAAAAAAAAGATAGAAAGATATTTACATATCGAAATGTTGAATAAACTTTATTTGGCAACAGTAGGCAGGCAAAACTATGTGCACGGTCATTATTTTAATATTTATTTACTATTGTTTTGACTTTAGGTGGTCACGTTCAAGATCCAAATCAAAATCACGATCTCGATCGCGCTCACGTTCCTGCTCAAGATCGCGATCGCGGTCTCGCTCACCACGGCGTAGCCAATCGTATAGTAGAAGTGCCAGAGACAAATATCGCAAGAAAGGAAGATCTAATTCTAGAGATCGAAGCAAGTCAAAATCTCGATCGGGCTCTAGATCACGAAGCAGATAAACGTAAGAATCTCATATAATACTTTCTAATAGCGACACATGGTTTCGTCACATATTAGAGATAACGTGATACATAAAAAATTTTCGTTTCAGTGGATGTGAATTAATCAACGCTCGACAACAGATTCTTGATTTAGTAATTTAAAGAAGTTGCGACTTTTTTTTATTTCAAAGGCTTTATCAATTACTAACTAATTAAGAATATGAGTCTATATAGTATAATATTAAAAAGATCATTAACTTTCCTGCATGGGAGTATGCATTTTATACAATAAGAAGAGATAATCTCTTTAACAACATTGTTTTAAAAGGTTTATTGTGTTCTTATTGTGCGTTTTTGAGTTGCTGTAAGTTGAGATGTTCAATAAAATAGTTTTACAGGTACGTAGACGTATTAATTTTTATCGTGTGTGTATACACATTCTGTCGATATTCATATCTCATCATCTTCCACTAAAATTTCATGTTCCCACACATATTGAACGCATGTGGTTCTTTCTTTTTCTCGTTTGTACGTGTACATCGCGTGTCCGATCGCGTCTTAGCGTCAAGTTTTTTGCGTCTTTGAACTTGTGCGAAGCGGCAGCGAGTTTAACGGGCGTAGCAGCAAATGATGTTGTCGTTCTGTTTGCGATTGTTTCGAGTTTATTTTTTGTGCATTTCAGCTGAAATTCCGCTGACAGTTTCGAAAATGCAAAAATTTCCGCTGCTTTTTCGACAACGAAATATAATTCACGAAAAAAATTCGTCTCTTCGACATCTTAATTTTTTCACCATCGGAATAATTTGTTTTTAATGTTTTTAAACGTTATTTGCATCGATGCTACGCATATTTTTTTTGGGGGGGGGGATTGTAAAATAAAACAAAATGATTTGTACGAATCGAATTCGATGAGCGTATACGTTAATTCTCAAATTCAGAACAAATGTGAATGTGATTCGACGCCTATGACTTGCCAAGAAGTATTAAAAAGCAAGTCAGTAAAGTGGGGTAGGCCGTAGGCAACAAATGTGAAGGCGAAACACACTGCAGCTACATGGGAGGCAACATAAAGAAGTGGAGGGAGTTGAAGAAGAAGAAAAGAAAAAAAGAAATAAGTCGATGCAGGCACGATGGAGTCACGACACAGTAAGGCGTCGTAAAAAGAACGGGAACGTTCTCCCTTGCTTGCGCTGCGATTATTCTCTTCAAATTCTTTTTTTTTTCTTTTGTTTATCCCTTTTATACGTGTGCTCTTTTTGTTTTTTTTTTTTTTACTACAACGCGAATATTGTTGTACCACAATCCGTTACTTTTCGAAACGGGTGTAATATTAAATCAAATTTTTGCGGACTAATTAACGCAAGAGTGTCGTTTCGCGTCAAAGTGGTAAGTCAATTGTGTTAGCACATTAATCGGGGCCAATTAAAGTGCGCTATGGCTTCTGCGTACGAAGTGATGACCGAACAGCAGAACACGTCGCGTGATTTTACGACAACTTGTTCCAACAACAATCGAGTTAATTCGGTCACTGCTACCGATATGGAGAAGACGTCGTCGTTGTCATCGTTGTCTTCATCGTCGGCGTCACGAGCCAGTGTAACAAGCGATTTGTCTTACGAAGAACTTCCGATACCTTCCACAGAAGTCGGTCACGTTCCACCCGGTGAATTAATTGACGAAGATTTAAACGCGCTCAAGGACAAAGAGACGTGCAAGACGATGGATATGAATGAGGAATGCAAAAATGAAACAAATATCGACACTTGTGCGGATTCGATAAACAATACTTGGCAAATAAACAAATCGGAAAATAAACAGTCTTTTTTGATATGCGATAAGCAGAAGGAGAAGAAAATTACTTCGACCTCGGTAGCGAGTAATGTCACATTGGAAAATGCATCCGTGTGCAGCGCGAAAAAGGAACAGGACCAAAGAAATCAGAGTACGTTGGAGATTCGCGGTCAAGAACAGCAGCGTGATAATATCGCAAGAAACTTGCAAGATCGCACGGCGGAAGACGTGCAAACTTGCTGCGAAAACGTGGTAAAACTTGATTTAAGGACAACCGAGAAACAGAATAAAACTGAGAGGGACATTATAAGTCAACAAGACAGTGACTCGTTCTACGACGCCGTGCGTTCGGGAAACGTAAAGCGTGTCTCGGCGTTGATTGCCTCCGGCTCTGTGCAAAACCTGGACGAACCGGATTGGAATGTATCGGGAGATCCACCCTTATTAATAGCAGCGGCAAATCATTGTCTACCTATGCTCAGGTAGAATTTTTGTTGCAGAGGAAATTATATTCATTTAAATAATAAGATCATCGTATAAATTTTTTTTTCTTAAAGTTTGTATTAAAATTTATCAAAACAGAGAAAGATTTTTATTTGTGTTTACTTTCTATTATATACAGTTTATTATTGGCAAGTGGATGTAATCCAGCTGTGCGTTCGCCACGAGGTGAAACGGCACTTCATAAAGTAATTCTGAACGGTGGACCGGGCGATGTGTTGAAATTTGTGGAAGATCTCTTGAAACACGGGTGTCCGCCAGGTGTGAAGGAAGCAGGCAGCGGATCAACCGCGCTGCACGTGCTCTCCCGCCAACTGGCACACACGCCCTTAAAATCCTTCCATCACAATTTCGATGCCGCTCTGAAAATTCTAAAGCTACTGGCAGAAACTGGACCCGTTAATGCCAAAGATCACCAAGGCCGAAGTGCTTTGCACATTCTGGCGTCATCAACTATTTTTGGTATTGATTATATAAGATTGTAATTGATTATATAAATTGTTTATAATCAATCATTTTCGATAAAAAACTATTATTTTATTGATTTCGCAGATAATAATCGTAAGACCGACATCGAGTCGCTGATCGAGATACTCCTGGCCGCCGGTGCGGATACCGCTTTGAAAAACGACCGTGGAGAAACACCGTTGCACGAGAGTCTGGAATGCGGCGCGTTGAACACGGCAACATTACTGATACCGCACACGCCCACAGGTATCACATCGCGTTACGGTGAAACTCCGTTGCACATAACATCGCGGAAAAATCACATAGATATAGTGACAAAACTGCTGGAACACGGTGAGGATCCTGGTGCGCAAGACGCTCGTGGAAATACTCCATTACACTTAGCGTCAGCGAGAGGCTTTCATCAGACGGTGTCGTTGTTAGTCACTTCACCTTTAGCTCAATTGGAGAAGATCAACATTGACGGGTTGACGGCATTACAAGTAGCCGCTGAGAGCGGATTTGTCAATACCGTTAAGATACTGCTGAAAGCAGGTGCCGATCCCAGTCAGACTATGCACTATTGCGAGACCATTTTACGCCGTCATCCTGACATCTCGCTCCTTATCGATCACGAGTTGACCAGACGTCGGCAACTCGCCGCCTGATTTGATGGAATTCTTCAATTTGCTCTTGATACTTGGCGTTTGTGTACTAATTGCTTAAAAGTTATTAAAGAGTACGTACAAAACGCAATTATTGCTCAATATAAGATATACTCTAATACTTGTGAGAAATTATACGGGCGTTGTGCACGTATAGGATAAAAGTTGTTAAATCTCAACTGTAGATATCATAGTATACTTAAAGAGTTTTTATTCATTAAATTCAATCAGTTTGCGGTTAATGAACAGACTCTTTAATTTGGAAAATTACAACTATCGTTTTTTATGATTTGAAATTTGTAAAATATCGTTTCTCCCAAGAGAAAAATTTTATACAAATAAATCTTTACGTTGTTATTGTGACAACTTGAGTTGTTTTGTTTTCCCTATTTATCCCCAAGTCTTACCGTCATTGTTTTCACATTATTAGTACATTTTATTTACTTATTTAAATAGGGATTAATAGAAAAAAAACAAGATATTATATGATATTTATATTTATAAGCGTTGTAGTGTATATTGTATATCTTATATAAAATTGATACATAAATCTAAACGAAGCAAAATTGAATAAAATAAGAACATGTTTATATTGATGTATATCGAAAAGCACAAGAAATAAATTTTAAATTATTTTCTTTATAAAGTATATTACATAATATCAGAAACAGACTGTATTAGAATTACAAAGTAAAAATATACAATCCAGGTGTACAATTAAAAGAAGACATTGTGTAAAAATAAATGTCTCATATTTAAGCTTCTTCTTTCATATGTATGTATATTGAAACAAGATAAAAACAAAGTGTAGGATCTTCCTAAATAAAACACACATACATAAACATACTTCTCTCTCTCTTTCTCTCTCTTCCTTTTTTCTCTCTATATTATATTTGGCATGAGGTACGTGCCTCTTGGTGTTTTGTGAAACATGTTTCATATCACTGCCATATTAGCATATTTTACAATTTTTCGCGTATTTATAAATTTTTATCACGCGTATTTTGTAATTTTATATCATTAATCTCTTTCGTTGTATCTCAAGTATGTACAAACACAAGTTTGCGAAAACTAGTTTTTGATATATGTAAATCAAAATCAATCACGTAACCATAAAATATTCAGTTATGAAGCATTTATATAACAAAATTAACATTAAAATAAAACAGATTCCATTAAATAGACAACAGAGTAAATATATATGTATAACAATTTAAATTTTTTTCTTTTAACAATGTTTCTAAAGTCTCTATGCAAGACGGGTTAATCATTTTAGAAAAGTATCGAATATCAAAAAATCAGAGAAACCTTACATCTAGTATAGATTTAATTGAAAAATATTAAATTCTGAAGAATTATAATTCTTTTTTTTTGTAGCTGTTTTTTTTTTATTTTATTTATATATAACGTTATCGTTAATTCAAAATTGTTCGTTTATTTTTCGCTTGCTTACACATGTTACTTCACGATTTATATAATATTCAGTCTCTTGAAAATATATTTAATCGTATTTCGTGGAAGTATTAAGAGAAGACACATGTACCCTAGAACGTCATTTCTAAGTTATAATATATGTTATATATCGTTCGTCGTCCGTGCGAGCTTAAACTATTTTGCTATATAATCTTTCTACATAACAAAGTATAATAAAACATTAAAATGATATATGTAGAAAATATTGCAAAAAGAACTTAAGACTTGTCGACACTCTCGCAATCAACTTGAATTGTAACATCATTGATATGACTTCCAAAACAAAATTCGTAAATGTATCATAGCTTGCTTTATGTCACTTAATAAAAACTGAAATGCAAGGTACTAAAAAGATGCTAATACAATGCGTGTAAATATATATGTTTCTTTGTATTATTTTCTATATATTTTTCGATTTATGTGCATATTTCGCACATAAATGCGCTTGTCTTTCTTAAGCGTATAGGCGTGTGTCAAGAAATTTTATGTGTATCCTATCACTATCATATATAAATATATACATATTAGTAATATAAAACATATATTGGTAATATAAAACATGCATTCATATGTAATGTTTTTGGTTCAAATTTCATCTTTTTCTTATAATAAATTATAAAAATAATTCACAGATTATATATATATATATATTATATATGTATACATAAAATACATGAGGTTACTCATAAACAGAGATTTGTGCTTACTTACACATCTTAGATGTATTGCACCATTGTTTAACCAGCTTGTTTAACTGCTGCTGATTGACTTGTAGGAAGAACAATCTCACCTAATCTAAATTATTCTTACGCTCTTAAGAGAAGAAACTGACCTCGCGTTATGAATTAACAGTTCAATTTGACCATACATTTTCTCTCTTTCTTTCTATCTTCTTCCTAGCGAAAGAATTGATTTGCACGATATTTACAGAAACAGAGTAGAAAACTTTAGCCTCAAACGTGTTCTTACGTTACACTGTAACATGCTAAATATAAAATTTGTTGTAAAGTATTATAAACTTTACATCTCTCTCTATACATTTTGTGGTGTCAACAACAGTTTCTCTGTCTCATTTCGAAAAAAGGAAACTTTCAAAAATACTATACTACTTACGAATACTGCTAGCTCTGATAAAATATGTTTAAAAAAAAACATGTAAAAATTTATACACTAGAAATAATATATGTTGGTCAGTTATCGAGACTACTATAAAGTTTCTTCGATACGTTACAAAGAAACGATTAAAACTTAATTTTTCTACGTCAAAAAACATAATATAGAAATCTCATTTGTATATGAAATATATCACTTACTGATGAATTGTGTCTGCAGTGAGAGCTTCAAGATCATTTATTGTAGAATTATGACGAGTCTTTCTGGAACCTTCGTTATCGTTCACAAGATTGGGATTGACGGAATGCAAGAGAGCTGCCGTTTTATTAAAGTCTATTGTAGCATAGCCTTTTTGCGGCTTGTTCTGAGACTTAGGAGAAGACGGCGCGGAACCGATAGTGTTGTCCGATGCATCGATAGGCGAGTCCAGATCCAGGACGGCATAATTCATTTCCCGATTTGGACAACACGTCGGTGTAGGAGGAGCTAAAATGGGCGATTTCTCAGAAACCGACACGCCGGAGAATCTTTTTCTCAGACTCTCAATTTCACTTGCTTCCAGATTAGCATAGCAATGCCTAGAATTTTCTTCCGCATTCATAACGAACATTGGAGGTGGATATGGTTTGACTGCAACGTTTTCTACTTGCTTTTGTCCAAGATTTACGTTGATATATTGATGTGTCAATTCGGCGTTGGTTTCTTCTTTAAATCGAGTTGTTTCGGGAGAACTCGGCGAGATCAGATTATTTTCATTGCAGATATCTATGTTCATGTAAGCTGCCTGTCGTGATGGATTATTGCTAGTGGTGTCCGTATTTCGCTGAGTGACTATTGATTCCACTTCCGCGAGTCCATTGTTAGACGTTGCGTCAATCGTAATATTGTTCTGCAACGACCTGCAATGATAAAAACTAGTGTTAATAATATAATATCGTATTTTTATCTAGTTGGTCTTTTAATTGTGTTGAAATACTTACCTTTGTGTTGCTCTTCTGAGGCTTTTGTTATTGTTGTGTTCCATTTCCATAGGAATAGATGACAAAATCTCTTCATTGACATAAAGAGAGAAAGAATGAGAAACACTCGGTAGTGGCGGTGGAAACATAGAAGATGGAGAGGATGAGGTTCCTTGGGGTGATGAAAGGCCACTATTGCTTGCAAGATTGTTTACTCTACCATTCTGTTGATTATGAATAAGTCTAGAACTTGTGCGATTGTTATGAGTTGGATCCAAGTAACTAGGCTCAAGTGGTATAGCTACTCGTGTTACTGCTGTGGGGTGTGATCCAACCAGAACATCTCTTGATAATGCGTTTTCTCCATTATTGCGTATCTGTTAATAGACAAAAAAGCAAACAAACTTGTTTTTATACATTATATTATTAATATATAAAGAGCTTTTCTTTATATTGATACAAACTTGAATTTTTGTTTGAACAAGATTGAACAAATCTTCTGCCCTTTCACACTTGAAAGCATATATGCCAGAGCCTGTGGGACAACGTCTTCCAGATTCAAAACTGAACAATCCTTCCAAATCATATCCATATCGTCGCAAACAGCGCAATGGCCACTTGATTGGCTGTTTGCCATTCTGATGCAATATAATATCTACTTCAGTAACTTCCAAATGTCCAGGAGAAATAAAATTACCATCATCGTCTATATTTATTACTTGAAAGATATTTGGCTTATCATCTGTCCTGCTATTGACACAACCCATTTCTTCATTTATCTAAAATTGAAACAAACATGTTTTTTACACAAGGTACATATACTTGTGAAAAAGAAATTTATTTTCAAAATAATATTCAAATAATTAGTTTCTTTTATATTAAATAGGATATATAAATTGGTGCTCACACAAAAATCTTAGTTTTAAGCACTGCTCTGTATATCATATTCAATATAAAATTATTGTTTATACTAGGAAGATTATACAAACAATACACATATTTTTGATTCCTTAATCGGATAAATTTTTGATACAATACTTCACTAAGCAAAATAAAACATAGACAGACAATATTACGTATATATATATATATAGAATATGTATGTATTGTAACAACAATTGTACTTGATATGTGAAATTATCTTTTGTATCATGTCATATTAAGTTAGTGCTGCGTAACACAATTAAATATATACGTACCACATAGCCAAAACGACATAGAATTCGTAATTTGCAATCGTTTATTCCATTACACATCCCAACAATATTATCCCACGCGTCATTACGGTTATGCCGTTCAGCATTGGTTTGGTGCATATGTGGCTCAAAGGACCGACTCAAGATAGTCCATACGCCATTCTAAGCTTGAATAGTGATTTTCTTGGTATGTTCACCGT